TATAATATACACAAATATACTATACGATGCCCGATGCCGTTCAAAAATAAAATCAATCGTGTTCTGAACCGCCTGCAGTAAGAGAATAATATTTAAAAATATGTTTTAAATAGTTATAATTGACACGTTTAATATTTTTTTGAACATTAAAAGTATACATATTTCAGGTGCGCGATATACTCGTAGGTAATAATAATATTATGCAATCATATTAGACTACATTGACACATGGTATCCTATATTGACTGTAAATAGGCAATAAAATTATAAGTGCGATTTTTTTCAGTTCAAAATCGGACAATAATTCCGAAGAAATATATTATTACGGTCACGATATAAAAGAGTTGAACCAGCTAAAAAATATGTACAAAAAATGCAGAATATGTAGAAGTTGCTTGAAGTGGCCGTTTACGAAAAYCGTAAAATGTCAAAGTAAACCCATTTAAATCAGATACATTTGTTTTTAACGGCACTATTTATTCCTAGCTATATTATAATAATATTTTCTGTTGACGTRTACAGATTGTTTTTTGACCTGTCACGAGACTTGTATAAAATCGATAATGTGTCCGTTAGGAGAAAAATCTGACGATCGACCCATGAACATATTCGAATCTGAAGTATGTCTACTGYTGCCATATTTATCTAATTGTTGATTTTGGATTATAAAAACTAGGAGATATACAGAGAATAAGATTTTGATTTCCCCAAAAAGGTTTATACTGGACAACCTTGGAGGATGGAGGACCATCATTGCGGTTCATACAATAATATAATATTATTATAATAGTCCTCAAGATCTATAGCAGCCGTCCGGAACACTTTTCCCAACCTTTTCACCGCCGTTAATCACTATTGCTGTGATTTTGCTTTTATTAGTTATATACGGTATACCTATTTCAAATGCAAGATTAAATTAATTTTAATTTAAAATTGTTAAATTTGTTTTTTCCAAATTATGGTAAAATATATAAAATTCCATAATATAGTATTAAAATAAAATGTATTAATTTAAGATTTATGAATATAAAATATCTAAAAAATATTTAAAATCTAATTATTTTAAAGAATGCAAAATAAAATTAAAAATATATTACAGGGACTTCTATACACCTTTTTATAAAACAGATAAATACTAAAATAAACATCTACTATAGATACTATGTATAGAAGAAAAAGAAAATTGCATTGCAAATTCTAGCCGACTGTAAAATATACATTTATACAGTATAAAATATATTTAATTTCGAACACCATAATATATAATATAATAATAGTCCATGAATTGATGAATTACATTCCTTCTATGTACAACGTAAATGATAAACATTTTTGATTTTACAATAATTAATATATTTATTTATTTATTTCAATTATTGGTAAATCGAACCCGATATACAAACCAGTAGTTTATGCCAATAACCTTAGTTGTTGCGGCTTAAATAAAAAAAAACAAACCAGTAGTATATCATTATGAAAATCAACACAGTATTATGAAAATAGAAATATATATATAAAAAAGAAAAAAATGATAACGTAAAAATAAATAATATAGTGGTAGAATATTCAATATACCACTAAAAGTATACGAATAGGTACCTGAAAATTTAAAAATAATTGTGATTGTCCTTTAGCTAAAACCCGTATAGGTATATTATAAAAAATGGAGCACAATAACTAAATTTTTCATAATTTAAACAAATTTTTAATATTGAACGCATTATATAAGTATAATATTATTATGTACAAGATATTTATTAAAAGCAAAAAAAATGATTTTATATTTTTATGTGCATGCATTCCGATCCCACTTAATATATTATATTTTATTCATATATTCTACACATGGGTACATACACCTGCCTTTAAACATATATACATATATATTACTATTTCAGGATAAATGTATGGTATATAGAATAAAGATGTCAGTTAGTGATAGACGATAGTAATGCTAATAAGTATGATAATATTTATGATCATTGACATTTATTAGGAGACACGATAGTTGTATAATAATTCGTTTAAAATTATTTTACAACATTTATATTTCCGGTTATAGCTTCTATAATACTATGTGGACTAAACATATTTTTTACATAATATATATATTATATAACATATTAGTATTTCAACATATTCAATAGGTAAACGATTAAATGAATTGAAATAATGATCATCATCGAAGAAACTCATTATAAAATATAAATAAATTCATATTTTTGACGTAGAACTTAAAAGCCTGAAAGCTTAAAGTATCATCGTGGCTTCTTTCCTAAAATTAACAAATATGAATATTTAAAAGAGGGTTTTTTTTGTTCTTTTKTGGTGGCCTATATATATTCATTCTCCTTAGAATATGCATATTATATGATTATATTATATAACATTATAGTAATCGGTTTATTTGTGCATAATATGACGATACTAACTATTAGTATAATATTTAGATTTATAAAGGATTTTATACCCACGAATAAAACCACGTGTTAGGTATAGTTAAATAGGTTTAAATAGTCCTGCATGTATTCGRTAAAACTTTCATAAATTCATAACATAATATCCACTGTAATAGTCTGTTGGATATTATTATAATTTGTAATATGCATAAATCTTAGACCTTGTATACTCTATTGTTTATTATGTCTATGGTAATAAATATAATTTCTTATTTTTGAGTTTTGAATTATAATGTGTGGTATGTACTATGTAGTAGGTACCTAACTCATAAAATAATACGTTTTATTGATAATATATAATGATATAATATTATACTTATACACTGTATAACATAAGCCTTATACAAAATCAGATAGTAACAGTAAGCATTGACGCAACCAGGAGAGGGGTTTGGGGGTTGTGACTCCCCCGAAATGTTTTTCAAAGTTAAATATTTCAAAGTTAAGACCCATTTTTGTTTTGTTAATTCATTTTTTTTTATGAATAACTCCTCCCAAAAATAGATCCTAGACCCTATATAATAGTTGCGCCACTGATGGTGTAAGTATACCTATCTATCTTTTTTATATTTTTGTTTTAAATTTCTACATTTAACAGTTTGGTTACTTTTTTAATCAATTTTGTCTAAGTACCTAGTAAATAATACAAATAAAATATATTTCCGAAACCAAAAACTCATTGGATTGTTATAATATGCGCAATATACATATAAGTCAACTATCTAAACTTTATAGCCTCAACTTGGAATATTGGTAACCGCTATTACTTACTACCATGTAATAAGTTGCTATATATAAATATAGCTATGAAATAATTTCACAACAGTTGTGAAACATATACAACATATGCAGTATAAAAATATATATACAAACTATAAAAAATATTACTGTTTTATTTTGTGACAAATAATTCAACTTGTAATTACATTTGAAAATAGTAACTTACTCAAAGACAATCAGTGTGCAATACTATAGTTTACAATACATATTACATATTTACAAATGTWTTTTTATGTACAGTGAAACCTCTAAATACCGGACACTTTCGGTCGCTATTTAAAGGTGTCCGCTATTAAGAAGGGAAATACAGTGAGTACACATTTCACCGTTCCCAAAATTCCACCCGTTATTTGGAGGTGTGCGCTATTGAGAGGTGTCCGTTAAAGGATATTTCACTGTATTATACATAGGTATATTATACCTATATTAGACGAGTTTGGTGGGAGTACATAATATATTATATTGAACGTTTTACATAAATCTAAATTCATATAATAGACATACACCTAGACCCTATAGTAAGTATATACCCAGGTATTGAGGTGTATGTATAGATACATATTATAGTATGATATTTTAGTTAAAACAGGTATCTATATTATGTATTAATATTAATAATGATAATTTCATATACCATCGATGAAAATGTTGTTCAAGGTAAACGCGTCGTCGTTCGTGTTATATCAAATAAATGTATTTATACGTATCAGGTTTGAGGAGTATATTATATTATTGTGTAATATATGGCGGTCGGTAACACACGTGCGTAGAGTACACTACAGTTAATTATAAGTTATTTATTATGGAACATACAGGTTAGTACGTCATTATAAATATGAAGAAATGAAATATTTGTATAAACACCTATATAATCGTACGAATGAATACATCACCTAATTATTAATTTTGACCGTTTCGTATGCGGTGTACAGGTACACTATGACAGGATTCTAGTCACACGTGCAGAAAAAATTCTAATGTCATATTTAAAACTTAATACATTAAACGGGATGGTGTACTGAAAAAAGTTAAATAAATCTTATTTCTATGGGTTGCGTCTTTTTTTTAGATAGACTTTCAAAACTGCATTGCTTGTTTTGCCGTACTCTGTATAACGGTTTTTCATGATTTTTTTTTTGTAAGGTTATATGTATAGAAAAACCATGTTTATATTGTTTTATAAATAATAGTCTTCCTGGCCATCCGATGTTGCCTGGACCAAAGGTTTGTGTTTTTAGTAAAACTATTTGAAGAAAAAAATGTATATGCTATATTTCTACTCATTATAATGTATGGTAATAATAGTAAATAGTAATATACCTAATATGTAATTAATGTGTAAGCACTGAGCAAATACATTATACACTCCTATATGAYAATTCGATATTCCTATATACCTTTWAGCTACCTATATTTAGGTAAGAGTTGTAAAAATAAAAATAAACACCCTCCAAGTCTAGGAATCTAATGAATAAATAATTAAATTAAATTAAATTAACCTAAAGAATCTATTAATATAACTTTTATTGAAAACAGTCTTGTAATTTTTAACTTTATTAATTTCGKATGATTTCCATATATTTAGATATTGAACCTGACTTCGCGTTGAAAAAAATRAAAATTATAATTTATAACTGTGTATCTCGATTTTGGTGTATCTACCTCAGTTAACGTAAAAATTCGCGTCAGTGTATCTTGCTTTTTGACATATTTCTACCCAGCCTGACAATTCACCTACTGCGGATTGGATATTATAGCAGTTAATTTTAATCAAATGTATGGTTCAAAATCAAACTATACTCTTTAAATATTCYTGATACCTCCAATTTGAAATTTTCTCTAGATCAGTGAAGTTATAACAAACATGTGTTTGAGTACTCGTATCTTTAAAAATTAAAAGCTACAAAATAAATGCATATACATTTAACTCTCGTGTTTGTTTTAAATCATAATTTATTTATTCGAAATCATTAACGAAACGATTTAAAGTATATTTTTACCTCATCTACCTGAATTTAGCGTAAACCTTCCTACATTTTAAGTGCGATTGAAGTTTAAATAAYGTTAACGACATTGCAAATATTCAAACTTTTAATAACGATTTWTCCTGCAAATTRTAATGAGGTTCGTTATGTTGCTATCTTTACCTAAAGATTTAAACTTTTAAGTTCATTATTAGAAAATAATCTCAGATCAACCATAATAATTAGTGCTAAAATTATGTTATTTATAATATTTATACATCTTATAATGACGTATTGAATAAACATAAAAGTCAACACGGCCATATACAAATTAGTGATATTTGGGAAAATCGTGCTCGTCTATATCCCCTCTACGTCATTAATCTCCTTATGCGTATGTGTATAATCGTCGTGATTATATAGAAGCTAGACGCCTATAGGACATAACATTGGCCAGGGTYATCCTCAAGGAAGGGGAACGTTTTGGAGAAATGTCTTTTAGACATTTTTTACTGCGATGATGATTCGTATTATTTGTATATTATACGACCACGTGTCATGTATTCATCATGTCTACCACAGTTACACCGTCCACCAATACAGGTTACCATATCAT